TTGGGCTCTTCCTGCCGGGAGGGACAGCCCCCCCCCCCGACACCCCTCCCCAAACTTCGGCCCTGCCTCTGGTCTCCTGCTACCCAGCGCCTGGTTACCATGCCTTTCCTCCAAAAGTGGCTTGCAGAAAACACAGGCAAGGCAATGCCAGGGGTAACATTTTGGCAGTGCCCAGAGTCTGCAGCTTCTTGCTGCGTTGGAGGCATAAGCCGTGTGTGTGTGTGTGTGTGTGTGTGTGTGTGTGTGTCCCCCAGCTGCTGTCCCTTTTCTGCCCATATGGCACCTTCAGGCTGCGAGGTGCCTGCTGGCGAGGAGGAGGGTTCTGCTCGGGGCAGGCAGACAGGAGTTGGGGGTGCCCCCTGGCCCTTCCCAAGGTTTGGGTGCCGGGACAGGGTGGGGCCGAGGAGCTTTTCCTGGTGGTCCTTGGCTGGAGCCGCATCCGGGCATGATGGGCAGGTGCCCCAAAGCTGCCTCCTCCTGGCAAAGAGAGACCGGAGATCACCTGAGCCGCTTTCTGAAGCTTGTGGTTCAGTCTGCAGTTAAAGCCTCCTTTGGAATGTTGTGGGACGTTCTGGTCTCCGTATCGCAGAAAGGGGGTGGGAAAAGCACAGAAGAGGGCAACCAGGGTGATTAGGAAAGGATGGCCAGCCTGTGAGGAAAGGATGAAGAGTCGGGGACGTTTCAGTTTAGAAAAGAGACAACGAAAGGTGTGTGTGGGGGGATGACAGAGAAGTTTCTGGAATCATGCACAGGATGGAGAGGGTTGACAAAGTGAACTTTTCCTCCCTCTCCCAAAATGTTCGGATTCAAGAGCATCCAATGAAACTGATGGGCGGTAGATTCTGAACAGACAAGAGGAAATACTTCTTTACACACGGAGTGATTAAAATGTGGAATTCGCTGCCAGAGGACGTAGTGATATCCACAGGCATACATGGCTTTAAAAGGGGATTAGATGGATTCATGGAGGATAAGTCTGTCGATGGCTACTAGCCATGGGTGAGTAAAGGGAACCTCCATGTTCAGAGGAAGTCAGCCTCTGAATCCCAGTGCCAGAAGGCAACATTGGGGAAGGCCGCAGCCTCTGTGCTCTGTTGTTGGCCCTCCAAAGAACCGGTTGGCTGCTCTGTGAGACAGGAAGGATGCTGGACTGGAGGGACCACCGGTTTGATCCAGCGGGGCTCTCCTTCTTAAGGGTGGAAGTGATTGTTATGAGAATTTTGGGGCTCCCTCTGAAGATGGCAGCCCCACAGTCCTCGTCGGGGTGTGATGTCATCACTAGGTGGATTTCTCATTCTGCACCATTGGCTTGCTGGGGCAGGAAAACGCATGGCGAGGTGATGCAGGGAACAGACAGGATTTATTACACGGGTCAGACAGCAGCCTGTGCACGAGCTTAATGCAAAACTTATTTCGCTTCCAGCTACCCGCTGCATATGTGGAAGCTGTGCGTATGTGGAAGTGGTCGAGTTGCCCATAAGACGTACACTTCCCACCTAGATGGCGTCCTTGGGAATCTGGTGCACAAGTACGGAGGTCCTGCAAGAAGCCATAACTGCTGATCTTCAGGACAAATTTTTCTTCTTAGTGTTTGGCCCCCCGATAAAATCCATAATCCAGATGTTCCAAATTTGCTTTGCCACAGAAGGTGCTTGGTGGAATTTATACAGCAAGAAGACCCACAAAGTCTTAAAAATGCCAAGTCTCTGAGTGATGCCCTGCTGAGCAAAATGTTCTTGTTTTTAATTTCCCTGCTCCGAAAGCTACGGTTGCCAGTTTCCAGGTGGCCCCGCTATTACAACTGATCCCCAGACGGCAGGGTTCGGTTCCCCTGGAGACAATGGCTGCTTTGCAGGGTGGTCTGTGTGGCCTTGTACCCTGCGGAGGTCCCCGTCCCTCCCCAAACCCCACTGTCCCCAGGCTCCACCCCAAAAATCTCCAGGTATTTCCCAACCCAAAACTGCCAACCCTACCTAAAGTGATTATCACGTGTGACCTTATTGGGCTTGGCTAATCTGCTCATAAAGCTCATAAATGGAGCTGCGGTGGCTCAAGTGGTTAAGACGCTGAACTGCAGGCTGTGGAAGTTCAGTAGTTTGAGACCCGAGTGTGCCGCGTGACGGAGTGAGCTCCCGTCTCTAGTTCCAGCTCCTGCCAACCTAGCAGTTCGAAACCAAGAAATTGCAAGTAGATAAATAGGTACCACTTCGGTGGGAAGGTAACAGCGTTCCGTGCGCCTTGGTGTTTAGTCATGCCGGCCACATGACCATGGAAACGTCTTCAGACAGCGCTGGCTCTTCGGCTTTGAAACGGAGATGAGCACCACAGCCCTAGAGTCGGATTTGACTGGCTTTCAAGCAAGGGAACCTTTACCTTTACTTTTTAATCCGCTCATGCGATGGGACATAATGCGCAAGAAGCGTGATGTTCCAAAGCAACCCCATCCCAACTAGTCAAAGTGGGTGCACCTGGTCTGAATACCAGAGCAGTTTGGGGTAGAGGGCAGGTCCCTGCTGATGCTGTGTGTGGAGACAACTTGGGGGCTTGTGGGAAAATCCAGAAAATCACTTTTGCAACTTGTGATTTTTTAAAAAGAAAAATATTTAGGTCAGACCTGTGAAAATTTGGCCAATAGTTGTGATTTTTATGGGTTTTTAAAAAAAACTTTTTGGGTCCTGACTGTTGGCCTATGAGAATTTGGGTGATGTTCATGATTGTGTCTTCTCTTTTTCGACCTGGGGAGGAATCAGGTTGAGATCTGCCGATCCAGAGGAACGGATCTCACTGGCCAGTGCAAATCCCTTTTAATATGAGCACACCTTACTTTTGACTATGGAGAGGCGGGCCATGTCACACGTAAGCCTGACACCCAAAATAAAATAAATAAAATAAGGTGGTTCACCCCAGCCAGACACATTCCTCTCCTGGGTCCACATACCACTGCCAGCTGGTTCCAAGAGGGAACGGGTGCCAGTCAAGCCGCCGGGCCCCTGAACGCCGAGGGGGAGCAGAGCCCCTGTGGGGCCCTGGTGCCTCCCTTACTGTGGTTCCCCAAGCAGTCGCCCGGTGAGGCTTGGCCAGAGAACCGTCCCTGGAGTGCTGAACGCTTGTGAATAATCTCCGGAAATAATTTCCCTCATTGCTTTCCTTGTCCCCTCCCTCTCTCCTAGCCGCTTTCTCACCCTCTCCATCCATCGCCGCAGTCTCCACCTTTCAGACTCCTCTTGGACAGGTGCCACTCCTTGCCCCTTTCCCAGAGCACGCCAATGGGGCTGGATCAGCTGGGCTGGAAGAGGAAAGTGTTGCTAAGTGCTGGAGGTAAGTCTTGTTGTGTCAGGGCTGCTTTGAGGCAAAGGAGACAGAGGGTGGTGGCCTCCTCCTCGCCATGCAGGGGGAAGAGGGGGAATTAATCCGTCATCTCCCTGTTGATTTTGCCATTGGAAACTGGGCTCTGTTGCCATTTTAAAGGAGAAAAGATGCATCTGTTAAAGTAGGGAGCCGAATTCAAAAGCTGAGTGGAGACCTGATGCAGAGACACACGCCAGAATAACCCGCCTGCCAGAAATCAATTTGCAAACACTGTTCTGTCTGTTGCCCTGCCCTGGCTGTGCGTGGTATCCCAGTACCTGCACACATTCCCTCTGGTATCTCCGTAACTTCCTCATGGTCTCCCTGTCCCTACATACTTCCCCCAGCCTTTGCAGCCTGCATTTTGTTACCGGATGCCTTTCCTTAATTATTCTGCCCGTGTATTAATGAACGCATCCCATTCACTCTCTCAGCCTCTGTTCACTTGAGTGCCAGTGCTGAGATTTGAACCCATGGCCTTTTTGGTGCAGGGCCGTCACTCCTGAGCTCACCCGCCTGGAGCTGTGACTCTGCAACAGGGACCCCTCCTAGATGGATGGGCAGCATGCGGTCGCTCTCTGACAGGAGAGAGACGTCTGCGAGAGGTTCCAAAGCGTGCTTCCCTAAGGCATACATCCCAGATCTTGCTGGGCTCGGTGGACACCTCTCTCCCAGAAAGGGGTGACACGCCTTGAGAGGGGAGGGTGGGAAGGAAGGACGGAGGCGAGCGTGCGAGCCCACGTGCTCTGTGTGATGTGCCCAAGCCACGTGCAGCGTGCTGACTCAGGAGCCGGCTGTGGCCCGGCACATGGCGTCTCCTCCGGGTGGGTGTCACTCTGGGAGACGACTGTGTAAAAACGGGGAAGCACTGCCCAGCGGCCACGGAGCCTCTCTGGAAGTCCGGAGGGTGCATCTCCGAGGAGGGGGCGGCATTTGATGCCTGGGCTGATGACAGCGGCATCCTTTAATTTTAGAATGCTGGCTTCCTCCCTCGCTCCACCTGCCTCTCAGTGCTTGGCTGCTACCCATACAGCCATGTAAAGCGGCGGCGGCGGCGGCGGAGGAGGAGGAGGCTGTCAGGAGAACAACAGAGGGGGCTTCCGGCATTTCTGTTTCATGCATCTGAGATCTTGCTGTGGCTGAGTGGCAGAGCACGGGCTTTGCGTACAAGAGCCCCCAGGTTCAAAGCATGATGCCTCCTGTTAAAAAGAAACTCGGGGAATGGTCCCTAGAACAGACTGCTTTGCCACCTGGGGCTCTGGGCACCCACTGTCAGCCAAAGGAGACAATACAGAGTTAAGCAGAGTGACTCCGGGTTAGTTTTGCCAAACTCCAGGTGGGCCTGAATATCTCCCAGAATTACAATTGATCTCCAGGCCTAAAGATCCAGTTTCCCCTGGAGAAAATGGCTGCTTTGGAGGGTGGAATCTGTGGCACTGTACCCTGAAGAGGCCCCTCCCCTCTTCAAACTCTACCCTCCGGGAGGCTCCACCCACAAATCACCAGGAATTCCCACACCTAGACTTAGCAACCCTACTTAGTATAATGAGGACCATTTAGTAGGGTTGCCAAGTGCTATCTCCCCCCCCAAGCGGGGGACTTTGGGGGGCGTTCCTGGAGGGGGCGGGGCATCCCCTTTAACTGCAGGGAGCCGTGGGGACGTCGTCATTCCCCTCGCCCAACAGGGACGCCAGCTCCCTGCAGTTAAAGGGGCCCCTTTAACTGCAGGGAGCCGGCATTTCCCCGCACGTCTGACCTCTGCGAAGATCGGGCGCGGAGCCGGCGTTTCCGTGCACTCGATCGGCAGGCCTGCAGCTACCCCTCTCCCACCTCTCTCTCAAGAGAGAAGGGAGAGGGGTGGTGGCAGGTGTTGGGGCTTGGGGGTGGGGCTTCCCCCGGCGGCCAGAAGCCCCTGGTTTGGCAACCCTACCATTTAGTCCAGCATCCAGTTTCCAGCTCAAGCTGAGAGGCTTCCAGGAAATGGATAAGATGGTATGACAGAGGTCCCCTATTTTGTGCCTTCTGCAGAGGAAGGTGGAATTATTTACCAAAGACAACATTGGGCCGTTGCTGAAAATGGCATCCCTGTGTCAAATTCTCTCGCATTCACCTGCGCGTCACTTATCCCGTGTTGTGATGTCCTGACATTCTGCCTGTCACCACCCCAGCCAGCGTCAGCTAGTGACGCAGAGAGAGGCAGAGAAAAGCGCAGTGATGCAACGTGAAGCAAGCAGGGCCCATTTCAGAGGACAGAACTTGACCTGTGAGCTGCTGCTCTTCCTGCTGTACTGTCGCTCTGTGCCAGCTCCTCCAAGGTCAATTCATGCATTACAAAGTCCACAGGTCCTTCAACTGGGCATGTTCTGGGAATCCCCGGGCATTACAGGCCTAATTTGGACTGGGAATCTGGTGCATGAGGGTCAGGGGCTCCATCCTTCCCTCCCCACACCATGATTCCCCCAACCTGCAGTGGCCCTGGGGAGCTGATATGTGGCCCATCGGGAAAGCTTCCATTTGCTGATGGTTCCCCGTAAGGTTCCCCAAGAGGGCAAACAGCAGCTCCCCAGGACCGTTTTTGGTCCGGGAAGCAGCAGCAGGGGTGGGGGTGAGTGAAAGATCCTTCCGCAGTCCTGATTTACTTTGGGCCTTTCACGCCTGAGCATTACATTCCCAGCAGGAACTCCAGGTGCACACCTTTCAGTGGGCATGTTCTGGGAATTCCCGGGCATCACAGGCCCAATTTGGATTGGGAATCTGATGCATGAGGGTCAGGGGCTCCATCCTTCCCTCCCCACACCATGATTCCCCCAACCTGCAGTGGCCCTGGGGAGCTGATATGTGGCCCATCGGGAAAGCTTCCATTTGCTGATGGTTCCCCGTAAGGTTCCCCAAGAGGGCAAACAGCAGCTCCCCAGGACCGTTTTTGGTCCGGGAAGCAGCAGCAGGGGTGGGGGTGAGTGAAAGATCCTTCCGCAGTCCTGATTTACTTTGGGCCTTTCACGCCTGAGCATTACATTCCCAGCAGGAACTCCAGGTGCACATCTGACCTGAAGTCTCCACGGTGGCCCCTGGGGATGCTGTGAGTTTCAGATTAGAAAAGGAACCAAAGGTGGCCATGTGGGAACAGAGCTGAACCCACAGTCCACAAAGCACTCAAAGCTAAGCACCTGGTTTCATTTGGCAGAGTCGAATCGGTCTCACTCCAAGTGTGCTAGGGCTGCGAATCAGGTCATCCGTCCCGTTAAGATGACCAGATGCAAAAGAGGTGGGGGGCACCCCTGTGCCTTAGCAGTGGCCAGAGAGGGACATTTGAGGAGGTGCACGCAGGGCCGGTTCAGGGTGTTTTGTTCCTTGCTCCAGGCAGAGTTCACTCATTCCCCTTACTTACAGAGGTGAAGCTGCCAAATGAGTAGGCTGGCTTTTGAGCTCCACAGAGCTCTTTCTCAGCTTACTGAACGCAAGGAACAGCAAGACGGGGCTTTGACTCTGTCTCTGGTGGTTTCATCTGTTCACACGGTAAGAATTCTCCAGAAAACAATACGCTGTATCCAGCCTCTGCACCCACCCACTCTTATCACCTCCTCCTTCTACTCATGAAACTGTGCCACAGTGTGGGAGTTTCAGTATAACAGGTGAAGGAGCCCTGTCCTTGGGCCACCCTGCATTGGTTTTACGTTAGTGTGAGAGGACGTGGTGTTAAGCGTTCAAGCCTAAGCAAGCTGGTGACTTGGGTTAAGGACTTGGGGTGCGGGACGAAGTGGGCTGACCAAATGGGTCCTTTCCCAACACTGTCTGTATTTCTTCCTTCCCCCGGGATTTTGCCCCGGCAGCAGAGAGTGACTTGGGTTCCAAAACTCTGGAGGTGCGGCGTCGAGACGGCAGGAATGGGAGGAGTCGATGGAAACCCCTCAAGCCCGGAGCGGAGCAGCTGCTGCTCAGTAAAGTAAGCCTCCCCCCCTTTCCTGGTCTGAAATATGTTTCTCACAGTGGCTGCGATCACACACCCCAAATAATCCACTTTCAATCCTCTTTCAATCCACTTTCCAACTGGATTTTTTACTGTGCGAACTGGCAACATTCAATTCAAAAGTGCATTGAAAATGGATTCTCTAGTGTGTGTGATCACAGCCACTGTCTCGCTAGCTGCGTTGAAGTGCTGCACAGTTAGCAGTGAAAATGAACCGTATGGTTTGGCGGAAGCATTTGCAAAACGCATGAGGGTCAGGGTTCTCTTGAGCAGCCTTGGCATTGTTGTTTTTTTAATTAGCAATTAGTCTCTGAATTATTTTATGACGATATAAAAACAAGCACATTAAGCTTCGCATCTCTGTCAGATGTCAGTCGGGGAGTTGAAACCTCCTTCCCTTTGGCTGAGCTGTTTCCACAGATGGAGAAACTGAGTACTTTTTAAATCTTCTGAAGCTTTTTGAGTAAGTGCCCCCCCCCCCCCCCCCCGGTCTTTGGGAAGACGTCATTGTTACTGAAGATATCTCAGCGGAACATTTGTGCGGTGTCTTCATTCCAAAGGAGGCTTCAAACGCCCATCAAGGGATTCTTAATTTAAATAAAAGTGCAGTCAGCTCTTAGGTGAATTGGGAGTGTGTGTATGCTGTTCAGTGAGAGGTTCAGAGGATTTCCGCAGATGCTCTTGAAGAGCAATTTCAGAGGGGGCTGCCAGGTTTCCGAAGACTCAGGGAGAGAGCCGGGGACCCCATGGGAGGTGCGTGGTGGAGTTGTGGGTGGAGGCTGGACACCGTTGGCCTCTCGTAAAAATCTCAACCATCCAACGTCTGATCTTTAGCAGAGAAATATTGATCTCCTCTCTGTGGGCTTTTGAAATAGATGTATCATGGCTACCCTGGTGTCTGCCTCTGAGACGCTCTATCTGCAGCAATGGAAAGATGCCAATAACAATGCTTTCACACACTCCACAATTGGATTTGACTGTGTGAAACGGCAAGATCTACTTGCAGACGGTCTCTAAAGTACATTGAAAGGGGATTGAAAGTGCACTGTTCAGCGAGTGTGAAAGCACCCCAGAACTAGGCATGCTGGGACAAGATAGTTAAACTTTAGACTGGGGAGAAAAGGCTGTGAGTAGATTGTCAGGGAAAAAAAGGCTTTGTAGTTACCAGCAGCATTTAATTTGACTCCTAATTTAACACCTTAACCCATCATTTTCAGTCAGACCCTGCAGACTGCCAACCCTATTTCCAAATAACCCACTTGAAAAATGGCAGTTGTTCTTCCTCCGCAGAGGGGTCGCCCTTTCCTCTGATCTGTATCGTTGCTGAGGTCACAGCACCCGGGAGGAGCTATCACTAGGGGTGTGCAAAAATAAACCCCCTGGTATTTTTTCAGGTTTGGCCATACTGGACCCAAAAAAATATCAGTGTTTTCCAGTATTCCCAAATCCCAATATTGGTATGGCATTAAGATTCATGGCTCCTCCAGGTGTGGCAGGGCGGTGCAGCTCAGCAAGTGAACTCAGAGGGTATACGCCCTCTGAGTTCACTAGCCGTGTTGCGCTGCCACCACCACAGCAGCTGGCCTTGGAGGAGTGGACATTGAAAGAGACCATGGCCTCTTTAAATGCCTATTGCCTTCTGCTTTCTTGGTATAGCTAAATGTCCCTGAATAAAAGGTGGGGGGAAATTGGCTCTTTTCGGCGTCAGCTATACTGGTCACTGGTCAGCTATACTGGTCTAGCTGTATTTGGCTTAAAAATACCAGGAAAATACCGGTAAGGTATTTTGGGGGGTATTTTTCTGGCTCTGATAAACCAAATGCACATCCCCAAGCTACAGCTCAGTGGTCAAGAATCTGCTTTGTACACATGAGGTCCCAGGTCCAGTCCCTGGCATCTCCAGCTAAAAGGATCAGGTAGATGAGGATGTGAAATGCATCTGCCTGAGGCCCAGGAGAGGTGATGCCAGTCAGCGAACACAGCACTCTTCTCGTTGGACCAAGGGCCTGTTTCAGTATAAGACGGCTCCATGTGTCCATCTGAAAATGGCCTCCACGAATCAGGCATCAACATTATTGTAATATACCGGTGACATGATTGGCTGAACTTCCCTTAGATCACAGAGAGGCAGGTCATGCAGGAGGGCTTCTGGCTCTCACTGGCGGTTGTGCCCTGATCCCAGGTCTCACATGTTATTTTTTGTCATGGCATCGGCAGTACCGATGGGTGACCAAAACGTATTAGTTCTCCAGTGGCAGAGTGGTAGAGTAAAATACACAAACTTGTGGAAATGGCAAAACTTGTTGCTGTAGGATCCTGATCCATCTGTAGTCCCCGTGTTAGAACTGTGGCCGCTTAGAGCTTTCCTGGCGTTGCTGCACTTCACTGGGGTGAGAGAACTCTGAACACGAGGCTGCCGTGGCCCGCTTTGTCTTCTCTTAGGCCTGGTTTGAAATGGAGAATTCCCCTGGCTGCTCTTGCAGGTGCCCAGCGTCTGACGGAGGCTGCATTATCATCCGTGCGTCGCTGCAATGCGTGCACCGTGATTGTACCTGCCTGGGCTGTGGATCTCTGACATGCCAAGGTTGCACATCATGCAGCGGGGAGCCCAGGGAACCCGAGACACTGAGCACATTCCTTCCAGCATCACATTTAAATCAGGCCTTAGATGTCACTGCAGAGATGAAGATCTGGGTTGGGGGCAGCGGGACGGCATCCCAGAGCGTCTCATTTGGGCCTGATTGCTGCTGTATGTTGTCCTTTCATTCCGCCATTCTTGTCTGCTGCAGCGGACTTTGACTCACAGGGCCATCCGTTTTCATTCTTCTACAGATAAATGTTTCATTTGAGAGTTACAGCTGCCGATGAGCCTGGATTCTGTACTCTGGACAGGGCTGGCAGCATTTGGAAGGCAGTGTGCAGGAAAGGCTTATTGGCACGTGGGAGTCTCTTTGTCTCCTTGCCCGGGCCGCCACCTTTAATTGGGCATGGTTTCGTCATCGATTTTGCAGGCTGGAATATAATCCATAACAAAGACTCCTGTTTATTAGGGGCCCTTCACTTACTCTCTTTTGTTTCATTTTGGATCGTCATGGCTGCTGGTACCGTTTCAGTTTATTTGCAGTGGGAACTGAGGTGTGCTTCTTCTCCAAATCTGATGCTGTGAAATGCAGAGCGAAAACCTCAGACCTCCAAGGTAGAGGACTGGTCATTAACCGATGGGAGCAAAGGTCGGGAAGCAGCTGGGTAGGGTAGCTGTTCAGCACTGCCGGACACTTGCACAGGCCGTCTGAGCAGTGCCTGAGCAATGCCAGTGCACAGAGCTTGTGCCCAAAGAGACTGAGGCTGTTGGACCTCAAATCTGGACCCTGAGAAGGGTCTTCTCCAGCTCAGCTTCCTGGTGTTCAGTGGCCGGGGCTGGAAGCTTCAGCTGGAAAAGCCGGGGCCTGGAGGTCCTGCTCCTTTGAGAGGTCAAATCCAGAAGGCCAGTCTTTCAGGGTCTAGACGAAGCCTGGCGGGTCCAGAGGCTGTGCCCAGAGAACAGTGTGGTGCAATGGTCAGGGCTGGATCAGGACCGGGTAGATGCCGGTTCAGATCAAACTGAAGAGTGACCATCGCAACAAGATTGCTTGTTTGAAGAGCTCATCAGTGCTCATGCACCAAGCTCCAATGGAGAGGAGGAAGGAGGCAGAGACGAATGATAGGAGGTGGAAGCCGCAGCCAGTGTTCCCTCTAAGCTGAGTTAGTGTGAGCTAGCTCACAGTTTTTGAGCCTCCAGCTCACACATTTCTGTCTTAGGTCAGGAAGGAGGGCCCCAGAGCAAACTAATTTATGCAGCAGCCAAATCGCTCGCTCACCACTTTAATGCCAGTAGCTCACAAAGCAGAATTTTTGCTCACAAGACTCCACAGAGAGAGCACTGACTGCAGCAGCCTGTGTACTGTGTAGTGTGGTGTATGCAACTTGGTATTCAACAAATGGAAAAAATTGAACGCTCTCGGTGCACCAGTTCTAGTTTACAATCAAGACCAGATAATTTGGAGCTCTGATGACTGGGGAGAAATTTGGATGTGGAGTGGCCCTCATAGAACCATTGTGGGAGTCACAAGGCCCAGGTAGGTCACCTTCCCCCTTTTCTCCCAAAGCTCTTTTGCACCCACCAGGCCAGGGAGAATGAGCTCCCGTATCTGCATGGGCGGGTCTGTTCTCCAAAGGTCTGTTTGGCTCCACACACTGATCCACAGGCTTCATAACGGAGCTGGTGCTGTTTGTACCAGTGTGTGTTCAGGGACAATGTTACTGATAAATATGTGCAGGTTCCATGCCTATTACATTGAAAATCCAAAAGAAAACGGAGGGTGAAAGCACAGGGCCTCTCATTCCTTACAGCTTGAGATTCATTTTCTTTTTCCTTGTGGGTAAGCGTTTTGGGGGAAATTGGTAGGCCTGCTGGGACTGAGGGCAATTGTTTTGGGAGGGGGGACCTCCTGTCCACCCAGTTGGCCTTTCCTGCTCTAGACAGTGGAGGCTCTGATTCTGAGTTCACTGCTCCGTTTGGTCCATTAGCTGGGCCACACAAACAGTAACCGGAGTGTTGGCAAAAGCCTGTGCCCAGGAAAACAGCACTGTTGTTTGCCAAAAGGAGGATGCGACAGGGGACAACTTATCAAGTTGTACAGTTTATAGCCTGTATCTTGGACTACTGTCAGCTGCACCGTATTGTACGGCTATGTTTCTAGCTCTCTGTCTGATGTGCTGCTCTGGTTGGCCAGCTTCAATAAATCAAATGCTCCATTTGCCCATTCAAGTAAACCTCCCCCCCACATAAATTAGTATATTTGCTGGTTGTTGCTTTTTTGACGGCATAACCATGCCAAGAATAGATGTTCAGTCTCAGGGCTAGCATATTTCTGCACCCACCTCTTCTGGCCCTGATCAGGCTAAAAGGCAGGATATAAATATTGTAAATAAATCTT